TCCTCCAGTACCCACGACCCCACTACCAAACTACCCCGATACCCCACTACCAATGCCACCAACCACTACATGCTTGCGCAGGCCAAGCACGCTTGACAAGATATTTTTTGCTGTATAGGGTGTTCTCGGGTATAAATGTGCACATCCCAGTTTAGGCACCACCTACAAGTAATCTCTTCTGACAGCAAAGGTTCTTTCTGCAGGGCGACTTGGAAAGAGAGGCGCTGAGAAGCTTGTGGACACCAGTTCAACGAGCACAAGACCCCAAATTCAGGAATCTACGGTACACCAAAATAAGAAGCCCCCTATGCTTCAAGCGTGTTCGCTGTCAAAGGTGTATGGGGCTCCCTCGGACCTGCAATGAACCCCACAAGCCTTTTTTTCCTAAGACAAGCTGTAGCCCCACAAGCCTTCAGGGAGCACACTCCACGTAGGTTTCCACAAACTGCTCTGCCAGCGTTGGGGGTGTACGAAATTACGAATCTACCTGAGGATTTCAGCCGGAAGCCAGAACTCAGAAAGCACAAAACCCTTCGCTAAGGAACATGCCCAAAGCTTGACTGCCAAGCAGACCTCTACCGTTGTTCATGTTACCTTTACTTATTCCAGCGGTTATCAGGTGCTCTTGATAGCAGTTTGTCGTTGAAATCCGAGTTGACAGCTTGGGGTCCAGAAGGACGCGCTGATGTTGCGACCATTCAGGGTTTGGCTAAGAGGGGCCTCGAACCGAACACTGTATACGTGTCCAGCTCCCTACGAAGCCCTGAACCCGAGACACTCGAGGACCCGACCTAAGTTCCAAAACTCCCCAAACCCAAACCCTAAACCCTAATCCCAAGGACAGGATGCAAAGAAACAGTACTGTTAGCAGTTAGCAGTCCTGCTGCGTCCCCAAATCTTCGGGCCTATACCCTATAGACCTGAGATCCGCTTTACCTGAGTCCTAAAGCAGCTCTGCCTTGCAACCTGTTCTGCGGGAGGTTGGCCTGCCCTGCTCGCCGTTCTGCGATCGGAAGGTGAACCTGCTTAGGGAGGGCTAAGGGTTTAGGAGTTTAGGGTTCTCAAAGCACGCTTTGCAGAATTTCGTGATGATCCTGAAGTCCCACGAAATTTGAGAGGCATAAACCCAAACCGTGAGCCCCCCGGACCCCGGAGACCCAACCCCCGAAACCCCTGAACCCCTCTGGGGCTTCAGACTTCTGGTTTGGATGGCAGGTCGGTTGTGGACTATATGCTTCAGGGATCAGGCGACTTAGTAAGTAGGGCTATATACAGATTTCAGAGAGGCTCTAGAAGGTTTTAGCGGATGCCATAAGGGCTCCATAACATCACAGGATCAGGGGACTTAGTATGCAGGCCAAAAAGACAAGTAAGTGTAGCTCTAATAACTGAAAGCCGCAAGGGGGATTACTACAACTACACCTACCAAGCCCCCTAGTCCTTCAAGCAGGGGCATAGAGCATTGCCCATTTGGTAGGCGAACCTTGTGTTCTCGCGTGGGTGTTTCAATCAAGAAGGGGCCGCGACACAGACCCCCTGAGGGTCCTGAATACGACGGTCCCAGGATCCTTTGAGCAAGGATCCTTAAAACGAGACCACTCGTTAACCAGTTTTCAATGAAATCCTAGACCTTTGTAACAAGAAACCCAATAAACCCTGAACCCTTAAGCCTGAAGTTGCTACGCTTCTCTTGGTCCTCAGGTGCACAAGGTGGCTGAAAGCCAGCAAGGCCCGGCCCGACCTTGGAAGCGTTGCTGAGTTTAGGGTTTAACGGGGAGCTTTTGAGGGCGAAAGGGTTGAAGAGCTTTGGAAAGTTGGGGAAGTTTGTAGGTTTTCGGGCCTTCAGTGGTTTTGGGGTTTTGGTGAGTGAGGGCTCTCAGGGTTTGGGAATCCCTCCTCTTTCCTCCCAGTCTAGCGGCCATCACATCTCAAAGCTACAACCATGCAAACCCTGGACCTTGTGTGAATGAGTCCAAGCCCCTTCAAGCCTGAGCACGCACGAATTCCCGGACGTTTCTCAGCCCTACACCCCAGTTCACCACCCAGCCTTAAACCCTAGTTCACAGCCCTCTCTTGTGAAGGGCACGCTTGCCATGGGCACGTTGTTGGACCATACAATGTGTTTGTTACACCGAAAAAGCACCTGCGAAGCGCGCTTTGGGTTCCCGAGGTCTGAACCTAATTCTGCAACCCCCCAGGAATTCTAAGGGTTAGTTGGCAATCCCAAAACCATCGGAGGTCCAGGTGCTTAGGCTTCAGGGAGGTTGATCTACTTGTTCTCATAGCTTTTTTCTATGTTTTTTGTATGTGTTTGTGTGTGCGATTCGGTGGTAGTGGTGGTGGCAGTAGTAGCAGTAGCAGCAGTCATATCAGCAGGAGTAGTAGTAATAGTAGTAGTAGTAGTAGTAGTAGTAGTAGTAGTAGTAGTAGTAGTAGTAGTAGTAGTAGTAGTAGTAGTAGTGGTGGTGCTCGAGGAAGGGGAGGAGCAGCAGCAGTAGCGGTAGCCGTGGCGGTGGCGGTGGAGTTGGCAGTAGCTGTGGCAGTGGCTGTAGCGGTGTGCGCTTCGTAGGTTTCTATACCTACATCGTCTCGCCACTCTACGACTCTTGGCTGCAGGTTTGATCATGGGGCGGTTGCCTTTTCGGGGAGTTTAGGGTGTATGGCTTGACTCCTCTACCAAACCTGATACTTTTCGTGTGTTGCTCGCCAAACTCTGGCACTCAACGCCAGTTGAGGGTATAAGTATAAGTTTAAGTAGGCCCGTGCTGATACGAAGTAGTCTGGCGCTTGTCCAATCTGATCAACTTCGGAGGTATAGGCGTCCAGGTCTAGGGCGTTGGCGTGTTTTGGTTTCGGACTGTTTCCACGAATGTTGCCAAGACTTGACATAAGCATTAGTGCTCACTCCATTTTCACTCTGGTCAGGGTTAGTGCAGGGGCTTAGTTGCAGGGGCTCCTTGGTTTGGGGTTTAGGGTCTTAGACCCGACACGCCAGAAAGTAAACATGTCCCAGAAGCTGGACAAGCAGCGTCGGGTTTTAGGGTTTAGGGGTCTGTGGCACGGACCTTTAGGTATAATGTGTGGGTTTGTTGTTGGGTCAACCTTAGTTCTTTCCCACTCCGGAGGCTGTTTTGCGGGCACCGTCCATCAGACAGCCGTGAGTTTAACTAGCGGTTGAATCAACGATCGATCGCAGCACAGTGCGATGCTATGTTGGGTTTTCACGCTGTGACAGATCCAGGCCACAAATGCTGTGGGCAATGGTAAGACTGCTGATGACTTAAGATGTGCATCTCGTTTCCGGCATGCCAGCACAGACTGCACATGACTGTCTAACGGCGAAGCGGACCTCCGATGATACAGTTCTCAAGGCCGGTAAGGCAAGGAAGAGGTTTTGACACATTATTACAGACTGTGCCTAGACCTTGACAGCGACTCGTCGAGTAGCACATGACAACACAAGCGGTCACAACTTGCATATATCTCTGATGATAGCGTGTGCAGGAGGGTTTGGTATCGATGATACTGTATGGTGATGCTCACCTCACCGGGCGTGTTGTTGTAGTTGTGGTTCGCGTTGCTGAGCTGATAGGCAACCACTTCCACTTCGCGTCTCACTCCCTGCAGGCAAACTCGGTTCGATTGTTTTCTCGCCAAGAGATACACGGCGAGTTGTCTGTGCAAGGGGAATGGCTCGAATCCTTCGCTAGGTCGGTACAGGCTTACTAGCTTTGGCTAGTTTGGCATATTATTGAGCCAAAGTTGCGTTGGCATTACAGCATGGTCCGGGATCGGTCCCATGTGTAAGCACAAGAAAAGGTTCTGAGACAAGGTCGCAAAACGGAGCCTTGCTCTATATGTACATGGTGGTCCATGACATTCTGCTTCATAACTCAGATTGCGATACCTGCGAATTGAACTAGGCTTCGACGTCCGTTCGCAGCGTGATGGCGCAACTTTTTCATCTGCTTTCATATCGGCAGCGTGTTCTGCGATTCGGACTTCATTCGGAAGCATAATCGGGGGTCTGACATTTCTTACAGCCTACAGCAATGTCTCTTTTGGAGATCGGGAGGACCGACTGTTTCCCGGCCGGTGCTCGCAGACCGAACCTAGAGGAAATCTGAGATAACTTGGGGCTGGGTCCAAGAACCATGACCACAAGCCAAAACCATCTTCAACCGAGAACCCCCTCTGCAGGGCACAGGCTCTTGGTCATGATGAGGCCATGCCCATACAAGCGCCCGGCTTATCTCACATCCGTCAGCGAGAATTCGAATAGTCATTCTCGAAGGTGTGGATGCCGCTTCATAGCCTTAGTTACACATCAACATCAATGCCGAAAGCTCGCGCAGTGTGGACACCGTTTTCATGGTCCGTGGTCTTTGCCCTACTGGCACGCCGATCACAAGCCATCTGAAAAACCACACAGGGATTGGGACGGCTTCCGCCTGGTCCACCTGCTTCCATGGCAGTGGTGATATTCGAGCTTCTCGCAGGCCTGTCTAACGAATCTTTGTTGTTGTCACATCCAGCACAGATGCTCGTCGCTGCACCGATCTTACCAGTCTTACCCGGTATAGAAGAACTGAGCTTCCCGCTGCATTCCCTCTCACGATGCCGAGTGGGAAGCCGCAGGTGGTCGAGATTCGGCCTGCTCGTTCTGAAACACCCCAGCTGCCGCGACAAGCTACAAGCTGATTGCAGCTAGATATATTCATGATGCAACGGGTGCTAATGCATCCAGAGCCTGCAGGCTCGGACACAGACCTCCTACGATCCCACATCAGGCAGCACATGTCCAGATCACCAGTCTCTTGGCAAAGCCCTTCTCCGGAGCCGTGAACACACGCGGACTTTAGTAGGACGGCCGCTGCCTGCTTCTGTCACAACCCCCCCTGCACTCCACGAAGCACGAAGCAACAGTACCCTTGCATGCATCACTCTGCCTTTTGCTCGCGTCAGCACTGCCAGCTTCAGCCTCAATCAATCTTCGACGACTAGTAGGTGGACGAACGCACGCCTCCTCTCCGAAGCGAATCCTTCCGCTCAAGAGTGTGAGGAGTGCGCCGTCTCTTCTTCACGACAGAAGAGTCTATGGCAGCAGGACGCTTCATTCTCACAGCCGCATCCTTCACCGCCTGTTTTTCTTGCTGTCGCTTTGCAGAAAGTGGCAGGCTCGCCTTGGACACCGCACCTTGGTCGCGCAGCTCCTTGCACCACCTCTGCCATCCCTTCTCCGACCACAGGTTGCGACGACTGGCTCGTGCCAACACGACAGAATGCGGCAGTTGCTTGGAGGTGTGCTGGTATAAAGCTGAGTTGTGCGACATGAGCTTGCCAAGCTTCAGAACGCGAAGTTTGAGCTGCAGAGTTGACTGGTGCATCTGCTGAGTCTCACGAAACCAGCAATTGATCTCGTGATGTAGCGACTCGTTACTGGTGGTGCCAACGGGGAGTAGACTGAGCCGGTGTCTCGGCATGCTGTGACGAAGTCGAATGTTGTTCATGTACCATTCACTTCGCTCTGCAGCAGCTGCTGTGTGAAGCAGCTGGTAGATTCGCCTGTTTGGACCAGGAGCGAGGCGGCTCACCTCATCCCGGAAGACTGAAACCAAGGCGGCTAAAGACCGAATCCACTCGACGCGCGTATAGAACGGTCGGCTTGGGTCCAGCTGCGCCAGGATTTGTTCCGCTGTCGTCACCCGCATCGTCCGATCTTCGATTTTCTGACGCAGCGAATTTTCCTCGACTGTAAGCCCTTTGCAACTGCGCCCGTGGAAGACGTGCCCCCAACTTGCAGCATCGTACGCGTGATCAACAGCAGAAAATTTGGACAGAATGCAGCGCAATGTTTTCGTGGCCTTGGTACGTTTCCGAGAACTTGCGTACTCACATGTCATGGCCAGATGCACCGGGTCCAAAGCCATAACCTGCAGGTTCGGGCAAATGTTTTTCAAGCTAAGCAAGTAGTGCCGGCTCGGATTGTCCACGGTGACGAATTCGACCTGAGCGAGTCCTTCAGCTGTAATGCTTTCTACCAGAGCTTGTGCTGCTCCACATGCATCATCACTGGCCACTGCGAACATGCCGACCACGGCATTTGTTCGCCCGCGTACGGTGAACACCTTGACGAGACTACAGTACTAGGGTACATATGCTGAAACGAATTAGAATCACATGGGCTGTTCCGAGAGGGTTTTGCTTGTCTGCTGGTCTTGAAGCTACACTGCTGCATCTATACTCAGACCAAATCTATATCCGCCACGACACCCTTCGCAGCATGCTGGCTTCGTCGAAGGCCGCTTGAGTCGCATCCATAGAACGTGGGCGTGGCTGTCCTAGGATGGGAAGACAGCACCTAAGCGTGGCATCGATGCTCAGCGTCTGGTACTCGTTGTGCTGTACGAGCTCATGGATGAGTTCTCGTTCCATTGCCGCAGCGGCCGGAGAAGTGAGAATGTCCTCCATCAGCGGCAGCCAATCCTTGGCGTGCGACGGGAGCAAACAGGTGGACTCGTGCTCCATCATAGAATGTAGAGCTGCGATCACGCCGTGCACCTACCACAAGGCAGAAGCACAAGACCCACTTACAGACAAGTATTGTTCTCTCAAGCGCAGTTGACAATTCTAGTTGCAATTCTAATCGACATTAGCCACTCTAGCCGTTTTGCGAGAACAATGTTTACCTTTCCCTGCACCTTGGCATTGCAAAGCAACGTCTGCTGGAAAATCAACTGCCCGAAACCCTTGGTGTAGTACAGGTTTCGAACTCGCCGAACAAATGCTTCGCCTTGCACAGTGGAGACATTCCAGAACTCTGGCCCCGATTCTGTCATAACCAAGCGGATGAAGCGGTCAATACAGTTGATGGCACCGGGGAGAGGCGGTACGATGGTTTGTCGCATGATGGATGCAGATCGGGACAGCAGGTCGCATTTCTCTGCTCTTTTCAAGAGGCGGTCACCGTCGTGCAGGGCAATCACAAGCTTCATTTGCTTTGTGCCGCTAGGGCAGTACTGTTTCGACGCACAATGGTACTTCTGAATGTGATGCAAAACTCTACCCTTGTTATTTTTGTCGAAAGCTCGGAAAGGACATAGCGGACACACCAGCCGATTGTCTGGGTTCCTGTGAACCTTTTTCTTGGAGAGCAAGTCATCAACTTCCTTTTCCATCAATGCCAAGATGTGATCGCCGACTTTGGTGGTCGCCTCATCGGCCCCATCGCCTTCGTCGTCTGCTTCCTCTAACGATGTGTCTCCTGAACCTGCCTGCAGCTCCTTCAACACAGCCCACTCGGAAGGCAAAGGACCCGTTGAATCTGCCTGCTCATTGGCTACGCGGCCTTGTTCCAAGACGTCAAATATCACTAAGTACTTGTTATCAGCCGCATCGTGCCATGCGTCCTGAAAGTCTTCGGTTCTCAAAGTCCAGCAAGAAGACCCGTCTACAACCTTAACCTCGGTGTCGTCAGAAACCATGACCGCGACGCAGTGAGGCTGTCCCCGCACGTAACAGTGCAACAGGAATTGATCCTTGGCTTTCATCTGCCTGAGATCCAGTCGAGGATGAAATTCTCTTCCAGATGCAGACTCCACATGCAAATATGTTCGGTGCCCTCTACGCCTGTAATACAAACCGTACTCTGACGTTGAGTCATCGTGAATGCGGATGGCATCATCTGTAAAACCCAAATGGAACAGACCACGTAAGATACAGTTGCCAGGCTCTAGAAGTTGTTCAGCACAGTGCAAAGGAGATGAGGAGGCCTTTTGAGCAACCAGCTTCAGAAAGCAACCGTGAGTCTTTGGGCGAATGTGGACCTTGAAACCTGCCTTGGCTTCGATATGGCGACTGCAGGCTGCGCAGAAATCTTGAACTGCCTCTCCAACATCATTTGAGCTGACGCGTATGCCATCGAAGTGAAGCGACAGGTGCGAAGGATGGAACGCCTGCAGGTGCTCCAGCCACGCATCCAAAACCGCATCCTCGGCAACTGTCCACATATAAAACAAGGTCGACGCCTCAGGATTGTCCCTGGCTTCATCTACAAAATGTCGGTGAAGCTCTGGAAGTGACGACGCTGCTAGCCACCTGCAAAACAGCGATGCTTGTTGCAGGCGCTTTACGAACGGGTTGTGTGACAGCTCACACGGGGGCTGTCCTCCGTTGAACACCTTGAGAAGGATGCTCTTACCCAGACTACGGCATACACACAGTTGCTCTTGAATCACTTTCTCTCGGTCCTCGGCACAGGCGCTGAGTGTCTCTCTCACGGACGGCCATTCTGCGTGCTCCGGATTCATACGGTCCAAAATTTGCAACATTAACACAAAGCAGCAATTCTCGATGTCCAGGTCAACTGTGTGCGAAAGACTAACCATCTGCCATGCTCTAGACAGCTTCTGCGCGGATAAGCCCTCTGCATACCGACGCGTGCGCAACATTGGTTGGTTGTACTTGTAGCTGGTCTGCATAGTGACCCAGGCCTTACCCTCGAACGGATTCATAGGAAGCGGTTCGACGGGTGACTCACCAGCGGCCGACACGTGCTCTGCATGTGGACCCTGCTCCCACAATCTCTGCGCCGACAGGACCCCGCTATGCTGCTGACGTCCTGCTTCTGCTGCTTGGGCTGCTGCCGGCGCTGTTTCTGTCTCAAAGAAGTCCAACAGAGATCTAGCAGCATCTTCTTGCTTCCTGAGCTTGTCGGATGTATGTTGCCAGTGGGAGAGAGACTCGGCTTGCGTTGCGCTCATCCGGCCACGTTTCTTGCTGATGCGGGAGAGGAGCTTCTTGTAGAACTGCTGCAAGATCTCGGCATTGTGTCCTCGAGACGGATAGGAGTCGACCGCCTTCCAAAGCTCACTGGCATCAAACACTTCGCACAGCACCGTAGGCTTGCTAGGCTGCGCCCAGCTACAGACTTCTCTGAACGTCTTCTGGCAAAAGACCTTCGGTATGTACAACTCCTTCTTGCCCCAGGCCACTGTCGTGATCAAGAGCTCGTTCGAACACAAGTCGTTGAAAGCGTCTTTCTGTGCAGATAACTTCGAGGCGTTGCGATCCCACCACAACTTTGTGAACCTAGGGATCAGCGCCGGAGATGCCTTGGTGCCCAAGCCCACGCGCACCATGGTTTTGATTATCTTACGAAGTGGCTCGTCTTCCCGTTGTTGGTTTTCTGCCTCGCCAGCTTGCTCCACCAAAGCCAGAACAGCATTGGTAGGTTGGTCGGTGGTCTCCTCAAAGCCAAAGCTTCACATGTCTACGTCGGATGAATAGTTCAATCAATCACAATGACGACAGAAGATCTTAAAACGAAATGCTACGATCTTCAACGCAAACCGTACGCGGAAGACTATACACATGAATCACTAACAGCTGGCACCTCGCGCGGGCGAAGGCCACATGCCTCGCGCATCTTCTTTTCCGTGAGCCCCGCTACAGCATACTCTTCGATCAAAGCTCTGCATTTGTCTCGATTGTGCGTGGCCTCGAAACCATGCTGGCGTCGCAGTGAAACTGCAATCGCTGGTCCTGACTCGAGAAACTCACCCAGACCGATATCCTTGGCAAAAATCCCGTCGAGGTGAGAGTCAGGATAATGTGCTTGAAGCCATTCATCATCCACGAAAAGAGGCTTTGGTCTCCAGACCAAGCTTCGCCGCATGATCGAATTGAAATTGCCCTCTTCTATGTTCTTGAAGGTCATGAGGCGGTTGGTTTCAATACGCTTCCAACCGGTAACCCGGAGCATACGGGTGATGTACCCGTACGGCTTACGTCCAGCCAGGTCGTCTGCAGAAACCATTTTCTTGTACAGGTCCTCCTTGAAAGATCGGTGCGTCTCTGGGGTCTCTTGCGCGGTGACTATGAAGCAGTGGGCAAAAGTTTCAAGCTGCTTGCGCAGCTCGTCTTCGTTGTGCCACAAGTTCGGGTCTATGAACGAGTGGTTATGCCCATACACTGCCGCCAAGTGGTTGCTGTACAACGATTGTCCTGTGCCTCCGGAAGATTCTCCAATGAAGCATCTATCTACATTCTCACCACGTTTGGCCAGAGCAATGGCGGCGAGGCAACACACATAGAAGTGCTCGTTGCACCAAAATGTCTGCCTGACAAACTTCTGAAATCTCTGCTCTGCATTCTGCAAGACGGGATCTCCCAAACAGTGAGGGATTCGAACGTAGATATTGTTCTCCGGAGAAGGTTTCACGAACTGAAGAGGTGTGCGTGGATCAACATCGTACTTCACCGAGCAATCTGCATATGCACATCCAGCTTGCCTTTGCGACGGAGTGTTGCACCACTCGGCAACGAATTGAAGAAGCCGTCTTTCGTCCAGCAAATCCCGCTGCAACGGCGCTGCAATGCGTGATATCATGTCTGCAATCAGAACGGGCCAACCTCCAGCGGGACCTTCAGCTTCATCGTCGCGGCGGCCCCCTTGCCGGCGATGAAAATGTGTCACAGCTTGATCTAAACACACGGTGAGGAACTCCTGCTCAGTGTTATACTCCTGGCATTGGTCATCGATGGCAGACAACAACTTCTCATCGCTTCTTTCCACCCGTGCGCCCAACAAGCGGAATATGCCTTCGAGCTGCAGCAAGAAAGGCTTAACACGGGCAAAAGTTGACTCCGGAGGAACGCCTGCAAATGCTTGGAAAGCACCATGTTCGTGGTACATGTAACACACACCTCCGTGAGCTCGCAGGAACCGCTCGCCCTCCATCACCCACACCAGAGCAACGAAGTCACGGACGAACATGTCTGAATACCTGGTGCGATAAACGGTGATAGCTGCTGCGCCCAATCTAACAAGCTGCTCAGACCAGTCAGGAAAGCGCTCTCGCACGAAGTGGAGAATTCTCGACGTTCGCTGCAGAACCGTGCTACAGCCTGAGCTTTCTGCAGAATCAGGTTTTTCGCCAAAGGATGACTCGCAGGCTTCTTTTTGGGCATCGAACATCTTCTCGAAGGCAGCAAACGAATCGGCTGCACCGGGCATTAGTCTTCTCTTCTTGGCAACTTGCAACCGGTCTGCCAGCTGGTCCTCTTTATCTAGCAGAGCCTCTAACTCTTGCTGCGCACGCACACCAAGTGCTTCTTCGTAGTTGACCTGAAGAGCACCATCGCTGTTTTCGGGATGTGCATGTTGATCGGGATCTGCACGTTGATCGGCCGGATCTCCACGCTCCTCAAAGGGCCCGTTTTGACTCTCCTGCAGAACTCTGGCACTGAATGATGACTGTGACAACGCTCCACCCTCCACATCTTCCCAAGATCCTCCCGACTTGTCTTGCCAGAATTCACTTGAGCGCGAAGAATGAGTTTGCAGAGATTGAATTCGAAGTAGCTGTTCTTTCGCTGCCTGGGCTTCTGACCGCCGCCGTTGCTCTTGCGCCAACTGGAGCTGAAGCTCTAGAGAATACTCTAAAGCCAGCTGACGCCAGGGCGTGCCATCTCGCATGTCCTCCGGGTGAGGAAGGTCGGCCAATAGACGCTTGCGATCAGATGAAGAAAGGTCCTCCGAGAGAGCATGAAGGAATCTGAAGAGCAATAAATCTTGTTTCTGGTCCAGAAAATCAATTATCGCTCGGCCCCGATACATGACCTTCTCCCAAAGGCGCTTCGACATCCTGTTTTTTGCGGCCGGGTCTGGCAACAGCTTCACAGCTAAGGGGTTTTGCTGCAAAAACTCGGCATGTTGCCGAATAGTCTTGCGAACAACGCATGAAAACTTATCGACTTCTTCTTCGAGGGTCGAAATGGTCTGGAAGAAGTTAGTCGCGTCGGCATAAGGCTGCACCTGGCTTCCACCGATGTAGTCCATGAGTTGGTTTGGACAACACGGACATCGGCGCCAAGGTGTCTGACCACAATGACTCGCGCAAATCCAGGAGTTACACAGCGGGCAGACAGCCCATCGTGGTATCCGGAGACCTGTGTGCTCCCTCTGGCATAAAGCGCATCTGACAGTGGGATCCACGAAAAGAGGCTTTGGTCTCCAGACCAAGCTTCGCCGCATGATCGAATTGAAATTGCCCTCTTCTATGTTTTTGAAGGTCATGAGGCGGTTGGTTTCAATATGCTTCCACCCGGTAGCCCGGAGAATACGGGTGATGTACCCGTACGGCTTACGTCCAGCCAGGTCGTCTGCTGTCTGCCTGACAAACTTCTGAAATCTCTGCTCTGCATTCTGCAAGACGGGATCTCCCAAACAGCGAGGGATTCGAACGTAGATATTGTTCTCCGGAGCAGGTTTCACGAACTGAAGAGGTGTGCGTGGACCAACATCGTACTTCACCGAGCAATCTGCATATGCACATCCAGCTTGCCTTTGCGACGGAGTGTTGCACCACTCGGCAACGAATTGAAGAAGCCGTCTTTCGTCCAGCAAATCCCGCTGCAACGGCACTGCAATGCGTGATATCATGTCTGCAGTCAGAATGGGCCAACCTCCAGCGGGACCTTCAGCTTCATCGTCGCGGCGGCCCCCTTGCCGGCGAAGAAAATGTGGCACAGCTTGATCTAAACACACGGTGAGGAACTCCTGCTCAGTGTTATACTCCTGGCATTGGTCATCGATGGCAGACAACAACTTCTCATCGCTTCTTTCCACCCGTGCGCTCAACAAGCGGAAGATGCCTTCGAGCTGCAGCAAGAAAGGCTTAACACGGGCAAAAGTTGACTCCGGAGGAACTCTTCTTGCTTCTTCGTAGTTGACTTGAAGAGCACCATCGCTGTTTTCGGGATGTGCATGCTGATCGGGATCTGCATGTTGATCGGCCGGATCTCCACGCTCCTCAAAGGGCCCGTCTTGACTCTCCTGCAGAACTCTGGCACTGAATGATGACTGTGACAACGCTCCACCCTCCACATCTTCGCAAGATCCTCCCGACTTGTCTTGCCAGAACTCGCTTGAGCGCGTAGAATGATTTTCGAGGGTCGAAATGGTCTGGAAGAAGTTAGTCGCGTCGGCATAAGGCTGCACCTGGCTTCCACCGATGTAGTCCATGAGTTGGTTCGGACAACACGGACATCGGCGCCAAGGTGTCTGACCACAATGACTCGCGCAAATCCAGGAGTCACACAGCGGGCACACAGCCCATCGTGGTATCCGGAGACCTGTGTGCTCCCTCTGGCATAAAGTGCATCTGATAGTGGGATCCAGCCGCACATAAGAGGGCACTGGGCGGAAGCTTGCCATCTGTGTGAATGGGCGCGGTCTCACATGGATCCATGTGAAAACACGGGCCAGCGGAGACACGGCGTCGGCAGCACCGTCACGCAGACGAGCGACAGAAACGCCTCTGCCATCAACTGACAACTCAAGCATTCTCTGATCCCAGCGAAGACTGAAACGATAAGATCGGTCGGGAAGGAGCGGGCAGCGATTACGTCCACCATGAGGTTGAGGAGGCATGTCATCTAAGGCAAACGAGACTGTGCAATCTCTTCTGAACAGATTGTCGATCCGGCAATAAGATCGCTTCGTGCCTCGCCATTCTTGCACACCCATGTAAAGCCCCACAGCATGATCTGGAAGCACGAGGTCAAAGGTAGCGCATCCCATGAGAGGTCGGTCCGAAATGAAACCAGACACACCCTGTCTTAGAAGCCCTGGACGAGCCACAGATGCCGTCCAGTCGAGTAGCATACGCTCAGGAAAGATATGAAACATTGCCAGTTGTCGGACATTGACGAGGCATAAGCGAGCCGCACTGTAAAAGTAGACCATCCTGCGCAGAGTCTGTGCGTTTTCGAACTCGTCGGTGGACAGGAAGATACGACTGTTTCTCCAGTTCTCACGATCTCGAACTGATCGGCACATTGCCGGCGAGACACACGCTAGTGTCCGAAGATATTCGAAGGAGAAGAAGAAACCTGGCAGCTTGTCCACCACTTCCTGTGGAAGCCTCCCCCCTGCGTAGCTCAGCCTTTGCGCGGCCAACCTCCGCTCAGCACGTTCAAACCAATCCGGTCGAGGGTCCCAGAAACCATCCTCAGACTCGTCACTGCTCTCTGCCACTCCCCAAGTGCCTGAGTTGGCCAGGATGGTTCCCAATCATGCCGGGTCTCCTCGATGACAAGCGGCTCATAAGGCATGAGCGACTCATCCGCATAGGCATCCTGCGGCGCCTCTTCCAGATATGGCAACGTCAATCGTGCAGGCTGTGGATGGGCAAGCGCATCTGGGTTTTCAAACTGCATTTCTTCCCACATATCCATGAAATCCGCTGCACATGCTTCGGCTGACTTCCCACCTTGGTACTCCGCGGCATCCTGACTTCCCTGCTGAAAAACTTTAGCAGTGCACGATGACGCCGAGTCCACTCCCTGTCTATCCTCCCATTGCGTATCCTCAGCCTTCTTACGCAAGTGCTCCCTGTGTGACGCTAGCATCATCTGGACTTCGGCGGACATGTCGGGAGCCTTGTACACGAATGGACTTGTGCCACAGTCCGGATGCAATCCCACAACGAACATGTCTTGCACTTCGAGATGGTAGTACCTCTGCAAGATGTGCTTGTATAAGTTAAGCTGAAGAGAATAATGTTGGCCAGCGCAATCGTCAAGGTGACCCAGTGGCATTTTCATGCGGGACCATGGGTTCTGAAATTTGTTGCAGAGGTCTCTCGTCCGTTTCCAATCGAAAAGTACAGCTTTTCCCTCTTTGTTCAAGCAAACGAAATCGATGCAGCCTGCCACATCATCGTCATCAGAATATATGCACCATTCCGTGCGAAATGCCATGAGTTTCGGACAGGTCTTCAGGAAAGCTGCAAACAAAGCCAACTCAGTTGGCATTTCCTCAACTGAGCCTCCATTCAGAAGGACTTCCACCTGATGATGAAGCCATGTACCCCTGGCCGATGCTTCCACACCATTCGCATGCCACGTAGCTTTGATCTCGGCTGCGGTGAAAGGGATGAGGACACCAGAACTTGCGTGGGAATACTCGGGTCTCGGCCAGCGCTGGCCCTGCTGCATTCTTGCGATGCATCTGTCGGGATCAAACTCGTTGGCAAACCTGTGGACTAAGCCTGTCACGGAACATGACACACGTAGCCCCTTCACATAGTAAGTGTGTGTGCACGGCTCAAACCGTATATCTTTGTCGCGGGAGTGCTTGTTGGTTATCTCCAGCAAAGAGCACGAGGACAGGGGAAGAGCTTCTCGAAGAAAGTCGGAGGGGCCGTGCCCAAGATGGGGCACATGTGCTTGGTGCAGGCAACGCAAAGGCAATCGGATTCTAGATGTGTTGACGCCGTAAGTGGGGCAGCACACCGGCGACATAGACATCTCCCACAGATCATCGAATGAACCATTTGGATCGAACTGCGCATCATGCTTCCTTTTCTTCAGCAGTGCAACAGCGCGGTTTTGCGTGATGCGCAGCCAGTGCGCTTTTGCATCCTCCTGCACGCTGCCCCCGATGTAACCTGATCCAACTGGGCACCCTGGACAATCTGCTCCTGCCCCCTCAGCAGTGTGATTCGCGGTCGAACTGCCTTCCACCAGTCGAATTGCGAAAACAGCATCCAGCAAAGTATAGTCCAGAATCATGCAACGCTGGGTCGAACAAGACCGAAGAGCCGATTCACCGCCACCTGCTCCCGCAAGCAGTTTGTGCCATTGATGCTTCCGGTGGGACAGGTTCACCTGTAAGTGGCCTTCCGACGTCAGTCGGGCTGCCACGAAGTGATGGCTATAAGCTAGAACATATTGCCCTGGCACAGTCAACAAGGTTTCTGTAGCCACCGCTTCCATGTACTTCCTCACTCTGCATGTGACACAGAACTACGGTGCTGTGACAAAGCCAGAAAGAAACAAATACAACTAACGTATCAAGGCTCGACAGAGGGCGCAGCCAAGCATTGCCATCTCGGATTCGCCACGGCCCGTCTCCCGGATATTGCACCTTGTGCCCAAGGGCACGAAGACTGTCCACAAGGCAACAGTCTTGATACTTCTCTGGCACTTGGCGATACCCTGGAGCACACCAGTCAGGAGTACCTCAGACGCAGACCGCAGTAGTCTTATCATTGTATTGTTTTCGCACGGTGTGTGACTTAGACACAAGCGACCACAGCGTAACATAAAAGCCGAGCTGCATTTGCAATCCATACGGAGGCTCGCTGAGTCCCGAGCTCCCGTCTTGTCGTAAGTCTCGGTAAGTACCCGCCAGTCGTCTCTCTCCTGCTTGAGTAGCCTTGCTTTCTCTCCACGGACGTTTTGCCTGATAGTATGTGCTAGGACGTTGTCCCAATACATCCCCTCACGGCGGCGCTTGCGTTGCTTTCGGGAGAGTTGCTGCAACTCCACCTTGGACAGGCGGGCAGGAGGTCGCTGTCCCGAAGCTTCCCAATACCAGTCGATGGACCGGGAACTTTTGCCGAGTGCGGCAAGCTTCAAGCCCGTCATGAAATCCAAGCATCCTGACGCTGCTCACTCCGTCCAAGACTAGCGACTAGACTGATTAGACTGGCCAGGCTGTCTACACTCGCTTGGTAAAAGAAGTGCGGCGGCACTGCCTTCATCACGGCCTACTGCACAGCCGGAAAGCTGTCCAAAGACGTGATCGCCTGGAGTTTGCAGATCACGTTTCACAGCATCAAGGTTGGCGCAACGAAACACCAAAGCTGACTCCTAGTCATACATTGCATATGCTGTGTCAAGCAGCCCGCGATGCCCACGGACTTCCGATGGCCTCCGAGCTGCACTGCATCCACGGTTCCTGGCGCGGTATACTTTTGTTTGGTGCATCAAGCAGGCACTCACTGATGCCCTGATATTGATGCTGCCTGCCCCAGAGACGTCAGCAGGGACGGCGACAGGTGCGACAATCTCGCCCGAGTTCCGCTGGCCTGCAGTACGCAAATGAGGCAGGCAACACCTGCCGAGTGAGTGGAAGTAAAGCTTTGCGGATAGCAGCAGCAGCCTAGCATTACGGCGTGACAAGTAGCCTCGAGAGGTAGTGGAGTAGTGGCCGGTGAAGCCCTTGTGGAAGGCGGCACGATGGATCCTCTTTCCGCGGTTCTCATCTGTGGCGACGGGGATGTGCTTGCTGCTGCGAACCTTCGACATGTGGCTAGCGCGCCTGCTTGCCACTTTATATACGTCACCGAGTAGCATCTCAACCTGTGGCTTCAAGCCTGCCGAGCATACACGACTGGCGTGGGACCACAAGCTCCTCCGAACAGCCAGTAACACACTGGCCTTTTCGGAAACACTCAAAAACAACGGATTCCGTGGCGAGCCGATGCCCTGGGACATGGTGCCGACAGGAAAACGAAAGAGAGTTGCTCTTCTTACGGGATTTCGAGTCAAACGCGGCTGCAGGACTTGGTCAGTTCGTGAAATTGAGCCTCCAGCTGGACTCAAAATCGGAAACCTGAGCACATTCTTGCCTCCTCCAAAGGTCATGACCGTCCTGGCCAAGATGCTCGCGCTGCCGCCGTCATACGCCTCTCGGCAGGTTCCGAAGCCTACATATGTCTTGCGCTCGCAGCCAGCATGCGTGCACATAACCCTGTGTTCTGGAGGGCCAATGCTGGGGCTGTATGTCTATACAGATAACATTGAAGGCACCGCCCGCCAAGTCATTCCTTCCTTGTACTTGCGGGATTAAGAGGACTGCACTGAGAAGCCCTACAGGGCAAATCGTGCGGCAGGACGCTAGACGTTTTCGAATGCGACACCGAAGGCTAATCGAACTTTAGAGATCATACGATTGCTGGGACCAGAGCACTTTTCCAACATTTTTCCCAGCGGTGGCGAAGTGTGCTATCTCGACTCCATTCGAAGTCTTTCGAAGCAGATTCTGTGGGGCCTGACCGATTACGCGGTCTGGGCGGGAAGGAGAGAATGAAAACAATCCTTTTGCCAATATGGCAAGGGACTATGATTGTTTCGAAGATCCACATGCTCCAATCAAATTGGAAATTACAACGAACCGGCCTCCACGAAAGCGGGTGCTGCGTAATTGTCGAGCACACCTGCCCGAGCACACTTTTCCAACAGCTTCCACAGCGGTGGCGAAGTCTGCGATCTCGACTCCACTCGACATACTTATAGTTTCTTGCGCAAATCTCGAGAGTCTGTAGAGATTATCACGTTCCAATCAAATTGGAAATTACAACGAATCGGCCTCCCCTAAATGTACACTACGCCACAGCGGGTGCTGCGTAATTGTCGAGCGCACCTGCCCGAGCACACTTTTCCAACAGCTTTCACAGTGGTGGCGAAGTCTGCGATATTGACTCCATTCGAAATCAAATCAGTTTCTCGCATTCTGGAGAGGATGGTATAACGAAGTGCGAGTGATTCAAAGACATTAACATGTTCCAATCATATTGGAAATTACAATGAATCGGTCTCCCGAAATGTGCATTACGCCACAGCGGGTACCGCGAAACCACCGAGCGCACCTGCCTGAGCAAGCTTTTCAAACAGCTTTCACGCTGCGCTGAAAGCAAGAAACCGTAAGTGTTGCGGCTTAATGGATTCCACAGCATGTCAGCATTAAGCTCACTATTTTCTGTGACGGTTCTGCTTTTCTCGTGTCTTCCGTCTTCTTGTTCTGCTTGTCCCCTCTGTCCCCTCCGTGTCCCCTCCGTGTCTCCTCTTTGTCCCCTCTTTGTCCCCTCTTTGTCCCCTCTTTGTCCCCTCTTTGTCCCCTCTTTGTCCCCTCGTTGTCCCCTCCTTGTCCCCTCCTTGTCCCCTCCTTGTCCCCTCTTCGTCTCTTTGTCCCTTCTTTGTCCTCTGGTTGTTTCTCCTTGCCCCCGGTTTGTCACCTTCTTGTCCCCTCTGTGTCCTCGCTTTGTCCCCTCTTCTCTCTTTGTCCCCTCCTTGTCTTCTGTTTGTCCCTCTTTGTCCCGTCGTTGTCCCCTCTTGTCCTCTTCTCCTATCACCTCGCTATTCTCTCGTTGAAAGCTTTGCACCACTTGTCGAAACACACCATGCGCAGATATGTTGCACTGCGTTGTTCAAGCTCTGTGCATTGTTGGTTTCAACAGCACCTGTGTCTTTACATTTAGCATTTAGAAGCACGACTGTACACCTATGTACTGTGCACTGTAAACAGACTGTAAGCTTAAAGGACTGTGAGGCTTTGCAAATGAAACGACATGAAAACTGGAGCGGGGGAGAAAGCGAGAGAAACGAGTAAAGTCCCTATACCCGGCCCCTGACACCCGTCGCGAGCATTTCCCAACGCAAGAGCGCTCACTGTCTCGAGGTTGAAAAGCAAGCTTGCAGCAAAACAAAGCTAGTAGCAGATTACTGCATACCATCATTTTGCATGCTGGCCCATTCCTCTTGTTGGGCCCAGGACCACGAACGCGACTTTCGCTGCCTGGCTGTCACACCCTTAGGGTACACAACAGGCGTCCACCACTTTCGCGCTTCCTGCTCCTTTACCCGTTCCTTCTCCTTGGCTTCCGCTGCCTTCACTGCGGCCTGCCGCTCGTCTTGGGCCTTGACGGCGTCAAGACACTTTGACAAGGCTAAGGCCCTTTGCGTCCTGTTCTTCTCGATCTCTAGTTCCAACTCCAGCTGTCTCTCGGTTTTGTGCAGAGTCGTCGGGGTGGAAGAGGACGAAGCCGTTGCGCTGGGGACAGTTTTTCCCTTTGGGACAACTGCGGGGCTTGGCGTCTTCTCAGACTTCTCCTTCTTTTTCGCGACCTTGCGGAAGTTCTCACAAGTGCACCGGTCGGGACCGTACTTCCCACAACCCGCGCACTTCGCCCTGCCCATTGGTGAAGCAACTGAAAAAGGGGAGCGTGGAGCAGTAAATACTGCGAAGGTATCAAGATGACGACAGACGCATTTATGACGCTCGCTTCTCATGGGTGCACAGTCGATGCTTCTGTAAACCTTCAACTTTACGGCAAGGAATCACACTATTTAGGATCGAAATAAGGAGGTAGATGCAGCTATTTAAACCCTGGACATGATGCTAGAAGCTTGCCGTCCTGCTGACTTCCGAACACGAAACAAAGGTTTATCACCTTGGCCTTGAAAGCTTAAACAAACCACTGAAAAAACCTGAACCATGAACAAAGCCGGAAGATGCAGTGCGCCGAGGCAGAGACCTCGATGTAACAAGGAAGCTTGAAGTCTACACTACAACGTTAACGATCCGCGACATTTCGAGAATGGTTATGTTCTGTATGTTCTAGCGGGTCTCACATGAAAAGAAGAAACGCTTGCTGAACAAACAATCAAAAGTCCGAGCAACTTCGGACGAAAAATAATGATCCCCTGCTCCGCATTCCTCATCACGCTTCCCCTTTTGCTGCTTCCGACCCCTCTGAACTTAAGCTTGTGTTGTTCCTGCGTCCTCATACTATACTGGCCTTTATTCTCGTCCCATTTACAGCGTGTTTCTTGTTCCTATCCATGTTGCTGCAATCCTTGTTCGTTATTCTTGTCTCACTTCGCATTCAAGTTTTTCCTTTGGTTCCTTTGGCCAAACCTGCATGTTGCAGTATCCTTTCCTGTTGTAGTTGCTCCATGTTGCAATCTTCCTTCGCTCATTCCCTATTCTAGTCTCTTTTATCCCTTTCTTCCAGTCTTTTTTGCCTTAGTCCCTGTTCCGGCCTCCTTATTCCTTGTTCCAATATCATTTTTATATTCCTTATTCCAGTCTCCTATTCGTTATTCCTTGTTCCAGTCTCCTTTTCGTTATTCCTTATTCCAGTCTCCCTTTTGTTATTCCTTATTCCAGTCTCCCTTTGTTATTCCTTATTCCAGTCGCCTTTTCGTTATTCCTTATTCCAGTCTCCTTTTTGTTATTCCTTATTCCAGTCTCCTTTTTGTTATTCCTTATTCCAGTCTCCTTTTCGTTATTCCTTATTCCAGTCTTCTTTTCATTATTCCTTATACCAGTCTCCTATTTTTATTCCCTATTCCAGTCTCCTTTTCGTTATTCCTTATTCCAGTGTTCTTTTCGTTATTCCTTATTCCAGTCTCCTATTTTTATTCCTTATTCCAGTCTCCTTTTCGTTATTCCTTATTCCAGCCTCCGCCCTATCACCAGGCCCAGCTGTCGCACACCAGGATTCTTTAATAATTTGGAAAAAGCTTGAAATTCTTGAACAAATAAAGACAATTGTTTCAAAGCGTATCGAATAAATTCCCTCAAAAGGAACAATTGTTGAAACAATGAAACTATTTGAAAAAATAAAGACTCTGGCCAGGCCCGGCCGTCGCAGGCCAGGATTCTTTAAAATTTTTGAAAAAATTGAAATTTTTGAAATTTTTGAAAAAATAAAGACAATTTTTTCAAAAAATTCAATTTTTTCAAAATTTTTTCCTTTTGATGAAAATTTTTGAAAAAATTGAAATTATTGAAAAAATAAAGACCCTGGCCAGGCGCGGCCCTCAGGATTCTTTAAAATTTTTGAAAAAATTGAAATTAT